TTTCACAAACGCATAACCCCGGTTAATGTTCGATTCAAACCCAAATCTATAGATGAGAGGGTGGGTTTTCCATCCAACCACCGGCGGTTTATCTGTTGGCTGCCTATTGGTAATCACTCTTTAGGCGACAATAATAACTTTTTGCGCTTGAAATGCTTGTTGACAAGAAAATCCCACAATCTAACTTATCAACTTCTGGAGTAAGATTCGATTTTCATGCTAAACATGATTATCAAATTTTAGGTTCTAGAAAAGATGGCATATCTTCCTTTGGGAACCCCCATCTTCTACAAAAAGGCGAGGTTAACAACAAGAATTACCAGATTTACTCCAAAGATAGGTCTAAATAGAATGGTAATAATCTTGTTATTAAAATGCAACTAAATGAACAATTAGAAAGAGAACCACAAATACTCGTACTGACATCCATGGCCATCTCCTGAAGACATGGTTCTCTTGTACAAGGATCCTCAAGTCCTTTTACGAGTGACATCGGTTGGTTTGAGGGTGGATACTTAGGGGTAGAAATGTTAGTACGTCTTGCAAATGCATTTGAAGACTCACCATGTATTCTACTTGGAGATGTTATGCTACATCTACGGCCAGACTGCCACCGCCACGTGACTTCAAGGGGCGGTTATGAAGGTTAGGAATAAGATTACTGAGTCACTGATCTCTAATAACTTGGGTGGTGGTTCTTTGGTATTTCTAAAGGTATGTAGAGGCATTTTAGGAACTCTGCATCATTAGTTCCTTCTAATAATGGGGATAACTTGTACCCATTGGCCAAAATGACACAACTAGAAAGATAAAAGATCAATGTCTAATCCTTATTCTCTTTGGTCCAGAAGGGATGTGACTTTTATCGGCCCTAAATATGATTTTCTTCAAGATCTCAATATTCCACAATTAAGTGTTCCAAATTCTAAGTTCATATCATACTCCGCGTTTCAAATTGGTCAAACTTCCTAGTTCACAGTAGACATGTAGACCCTCTTCAAGCATCCTTAGAATGCTGGAACTGTAATGTGAGAAGGGACGAGGGAGGGTTAACCCTTGAGAATGCTGGAACTGAAGTCTTAGGGCTCGTGACTAAAGTGATATTGATTATAGATATAACCACCATCATTGGTAGTGGAAGTTCACAAGGACAGGTTAAGAAACCGGTTGCTCAAGCAGAAACCTTGTTAAGATGGCAGTTATTCAAGTTGGGTGTGCTTTATTGTGCCTTGTTGCTACAATTAACTTCATTAAAGACACTCTTAACAATGAGGAGCAGAAGGTGGGAGCTAAAATTGTTAAAAGGGCACTTGTGTATTCGTTGAAGTTGCTTGTTGAAAATACAGATGGAAGGGTGGTGTTTGAAAAGGTTGTTATCTAGTGATGGTCATGAGTTTTGTCATAATGCTGCGATAGGGAAATATGAAGAATTGATGAAGGTTGGTTTTAATGATCCCATGAAGGCGGTGAGATGTTACTTGGAGCATACGTCATCAGTAGCAATGGCGTCTTTATCATCAAATGCAATGGAAGGTTGAGGATGCAATAAAGAGGCCACATGGGAGAAGTCAGATGCTATCCACCCTGTTGACAAAGTGGTTCTAGGGGGGTAGGGTATCGCTAAGTCAGGCTTAAAGTTTACATACAAGAGAAAGGGTAAAACAGGAAATGCAGGCTCATTAATTTTAGCTATATGATCTGAGGGCATTTTGGTAATTTTAATTATTTGGTTTGTTATACATTAGATTATCTGGTTTGTTATTTACTAATTACTATGCTTTGGTTAAACATTCACTACTCTTACTCCAACCAACTTAAAATACTATTTTTACTCCTGTCAGTTGTTATCATCAACCCAAAAAGTCATCTAACCAGTTAATAGGTTCATACATAAATATGCATTGTTGATTAATTGAGGGACACAAAATTAACAGATGTTGGAGGTGCAGCTCTGACATACATACCAATGTCTCAAGGAAGAGTATATTATAAATAATAATTTTACTTGGGTAGGGACTAGGAAATACTGCAAACAAATTAGGCTTATTCAAGAAAGAGTGTGTTTTCCATACAAATTTATGCTGCCTTGATTTGCATGTTGTTTTCTTTTTACCAGTGAGTTAGGGTGAAGCTACTACTAACCTTTGATTTTGTTTTGTTTTGTTGTAAAACAGCATGGGTAAGATTCTGAGCAGCTATCAAAGCTACAAGAAGACGGAAGAAATTACCCGCATGACCCTACAAGAGGTATGCATATCCAGCATCAGATATATTTTCTGGTTAGCTTGATATGACAGTGATATGTTACAGAATCTTATATTCCATCTTTTGTGAGACTTGTTACTACTGCAGAAGCTTGCTTCAGAATATGGGGATGCGTGTACTGTTGATGAGCTGACACATATAGTCCAACGGTAATCATACTAAAAAGTTTTTACCCCAAATCAAACCACATACTAATTCTACTTGCTACCTACACAAGTGTAACTGGTATGTTGAGCTTATTGGTTTTCAATGGTATGGTATGCAGCCATCTGGAAGAGAACAATATCAAGCATCTAGATATAGCCGGTTTCAATCAGCTGGAACGACATTTGAGTAACTTTCTCCGACTAGTCAGAATCAGGAAGGTTAGCTTACTTGCACATATCATATTCATATATATATATATATATATATATATATATATATATATATATATATATATATATATATATATATATATGTGTGTGTGTGTGTGTATGAAAATATATATGTTGACTTGTATATGGCTTAGTACAGACACAGCTAATGATGGGAGTTGTCAAGGACCTGCAAGAGAAGGTATAGCCCAGCCCATTCCCTCCTTGGATATTGATTCTTGAGGCTTTTTCTGCTTGTTGAATTGAAAGCCACTAATGGTTTCTACTCTCTACTTGCAGGAAACACAGCTGAAAAAAGAGAACAGCATTATAATGAAGGAGGTAACAGTAAACAGAAGAAAAGGATCCCAATTCGCCAACTTTAGCTTCCAAAGTAATAAATAAAATTTTATTTGTTGATTTGTTTCTGTTTTGAGTGGTTGGATACAGATTGAAGCAGCAAGGATGAATGAAAATGAGATGAACGAGGATTCTGGTGATGCAGCAGCAACACCTCCATATACAGACTTTCAGGTCACCTGGTGATGGTTGGTTGTTTTTGAAAAAGACAAAATATGTCTTCATCATATTGCCGTGTGTTATATATAATACATATATATATCTACTATGAAGGAGAAAGTTGATTTGTTTTTCAAGCAGTGATGGTTCTCACCCTCTATCTTTGCTGTGGCTAATAATGCAGTGAACTCTTTATTCCTCTTTGTATTTCTGTTTTCCTCCCCCACCCATACAACTACCTTAAAACTTAAGTTAAACAGCAAACAGCCTTGTAAATTTTACCCCTTTATACTGTGTAATGAGTTTCCAGTGTATGAGAGTATGTGCTTGTTTGTATGAACCATATAACATACTATGTTGCTAAACTACCTGATGATACATATATTATTATAAAGGGTAAAAGTTGAAAAACTCCAACAAACTATGCCCATTGTTTCAGATTAGTCACAACTTTTTTTGTTCCAATTAGGTCCTTATTTGATTTTTTTTTTGTACACCTAATGACCCTGAAGAAAAAAGATGTAAATATGGATAACAGGAAGCTAGGATTTAATTTTGTTCTTAAAAGTTTTTTAGCCAAAATCGAACACAAAAAATCGACTCTGATATAGCCAGACCTAATCGGGACAAAAAAGATTTGTTCAAGGACCTAATGTGGACAAAAAAAGAGTTTCCTATCTAATCTGGGACAATATGTATAGTTTGTTGGGGGTTTTCTGACTTTTTCCCTATTATACATACAATGACATGTTGATTATTTTGTACATGTTGTAGGTACAGTAGATAGATAAAATCTGATGAATACTAGCATAAATGTGTCTAGGATTAAACTGCTCTCTCTTCTCGTAGAATTACTACAACTAGATGTACAAAATATAACAGTCTCCTTACAATTTACATGACTTAAGCAGCAGCAGCCAAATTTCTGGATAGTTTTTAAAAGACAAGAGGCTGGACATGAACAAAGGGAGGATGAATCCCAACATATGAACTTAAATGCAAGAAATAGCAACCTACTTTCATTTCATTCTACACTTTTCACTGGGTAGATATTTCAAAGTATAATGTCCTAATAACCAAAAAATTGAAACTACAACGCTATAAGCGAGTAGAAATTTGAAAGTACAATGCCTTCATATTTTTTTTTGAAAGTGCAAACTGGGAGAAATGGAAGTGGGATGCTATAATGTACAATAAATGGAAGTACGTTGCTATTTCTTGCATTTACTTGGTATAACCCAGATTGATCTGGTACCAATTAGCTGGATTATTAAAAATATGAAATTGTTGCAACAACATACATGATACATGCCTTGTGATGGAGTCAATTGGAAAGCATAAGCAACTAGAATAATTGATAAGTAAACCCATTTGGCCATGAATTGTTGCTTCCAAAACAGACAAAACTATCATAACAGGTCTAAATCAATTGCCAATGCAACCATGGGTAAGTTTTACTTGCTAACACGGTTTATTAGACCACATGCGTAAGCTTCAAATTGATCATAAATAAAGTTAAGTAATATATTAAGAATAAAAACACAAAACCATGGATTGGTCAAGGAGCATTAGAGCCAACAGTTCTGAGTTCTGACTGAACCTACTTTTGGACCCAGTGGGCCCATCCTTATGTAGACCTCTCTAAACAATGTGTGATGTTTAGGAAGTAAAACAAAAAAAAAAATATATCTATCTGCAAAGAAATACTCATCTCAAATCATTTCACATTACAAAAAATATAAGAAAGGCACTTATATAACTGGCACTTGAAAAGAATGGCAGATTCACCTTTTTTTTTTTAAACAAGGGTATCCAGTGTTCTTAAAAAAAAAAAAAAAAAAAAAAAAAAAAAAAAAAGGCAATGCACTAGGAACAAGATTTTTAATTAAACATCACCACAAATATTGTTTTAAGTAATGCACATGCATACAAATAAATCATGCTTCAAATATTCTCTCATACAAATATTGTTCTTAAAACCTTGCCTTGAAGATGAAGAAAAAGGAGACATAAAGCATAATATGGAAAATCTCCACTCCTAGTCCAAGAACTCTGTCTCCCAGTCATTGTCTTGTCTCCTTGAGAAAAAGTACCACAACCAAATTAGGGACAGGCCCATGCTTCATCTTACTGGATTATTATTATTACATATTTATTTATTTGCATAATGTTAAATTTGTAACTACATGAAAAATACAAGGAGTTTTCAGTCACTTTTGCCCCTGTAAAGAACTAAAAAAAAGACCAAAGTTTAAACTACAGACAAATATCATAGATAGAAATCGAAGCAAAGAAGACACAAACATGATTCCAAATTGTATATAGAAACGAAGAAAACATAGACGGCTCCATTTTGTTTAATGTTTGTTCGGTTTTAATTACGAATTGACTTCTGATTTTTTAAATTGTATTATGTTATACAAATTACTGATTTCTACACATTAAAATTTTAACTTGGTCTTGAGAACAAGCTTGACATATATTTTGTTAACATGAACTCTAGTATTCAATTTACTAGATTGAAGGGGGCTGCCTTTGTGCAAGTGCAACACCCTGTGAATTTGACAGAGATAGCTAGTTAAATACCTCAATTACCAATATTACATTCATCAAGATACCATACCACCATAAATTACAATAATTCCAAATCATTAATTAGATTTATTACAAACTAGAATTACATCTATTCTGATCATATTGGGTTTTAATCACTATCAGTGGCGCATGCAGTCATGGAACCCACTTTAAAAGTGTATGCCCCACTTAAGATTTTTGCCACCCACTTTACTTACAAACAAAACACTTGAAAATTAAGATTTATTAATTAATTAAATTTTTATACAAAGTGGATTTCTTTAATTATTGGTTCTGGATCCGCCACTGATCACTAGCATTGTTCATCATATTCTAATATTCATTGTTATCTTCGGTTTGCCTCTAATCAACACCTTGACCTACGTTAAACACTTGCCCTTCATACTAGAACATCCTTCTTTCAAATCCGGGGAAACCATAAGCTAAACACCTAATGAGTTAATCAATTTACATAATATAGATATGGGAACAGTTTCATGAACATTTCATTGAACACACATTAAGAAAATAATCCCATTTGTACAAAGCGTGTTCTCAAAATCTATGAGAGCTTAACCCTTACATATTTCAACCTCAAGGACATTGTGGTAAACAAGTGAAGGAAACCACGGACATCAACTAGTGAAGTACACAAATTAAAGCACGTGATGGAAGCTCAAAAAGTACGCCACCCGTGACAAACCCTCCTTCCTTTTACATCATAAAAACATTAGCAATGACTCTTTACCCAACTCTATCTAAAATCTACATGATGGAAATTAAGATCTACAACTTGGTTTAGACCCCAAAGCCTAAATCTTACATTTGATTTCAGTCCATCACTTTAGAGAGGTATATTTACATTGTGGTTTACTTAATTATATTAGATATGATTTACATTGCTTAGGTAAGTATAATGATATCTTCTTCTTTCTAGGCTTTAAGTTTAACACTTGTTTCTTTTGGGCATGTATTTTATCAGGCAAGTAGAGACATATCTTTTGTGTGTTGAGAATTTAATAGCACCCTTTTGATATTTCTAGTTGTATTTTAGTTGACTAGGTAGATTATTAATCATTTTGGGACTTCTTAATTATGCTCTTGGCATACAACTGAGGCTATTGTAATTGCTATTTTCCAAATATTAGGACACTACATATAAGATATGATAGTTGCGTGTCTCTAAATGTCCAAATAAAGTGTACTCTATACCTGGAACGTCATAGTAACATCTAGTATAACTCAAAATAAGAATTACCTGATCCTGAAGCAAACCACAATTCAGGACATCTAGAAACAATAATCATGGTTCTCTCAACTTCAAATTAAGAGAACTCAGAAAGTATAACCACATCAAAACATGCAATAAAAACAAATTTGATATCGATATGATTCACCAAAACTCATATTAGGTGAGTGAGTACTGATCTCAAGCTAAACAATCAAGGTTTCCATATCCGACGGCAATACCAACGAGCATCTCCTTCAATGTTTTGGACATAACCAGATACGAAGACGGATAAAATCGAACGTATGAACTACTTACTGATATCCGATAACTGAGTGGGGATGAGCGGAAAACCTGATGCGCCGCGCGTTGATACTTCGATAAGTCTATGTTAACGCGTGAAAGAAACTGAAAAACCCTAATTCAACTTCTTCCGAATCCCAAACGGCATTTTCAGATCCTTACATGCAATTGAATCTGGAAGAGGAAATGGCGGAATAGTAGGATGAACCTATATACCCTCCACGCGTCCTATTCGCTTTTTTCTTTTCCTTAAAAGAAAGTAAAACCATGTTCGTGTACATCTATATATACTAAAGCTTAAAACGTTGTTGGGCAACAGTACCTTTTTTCTCTTTCTTAAATTCACACGGGACTTTTATTTTTTGTTTTTTTGACACTTGGATTTTACACTTAACTTCCTCAACATCTTCTTTCACACACCGACTCTCTTTCCCAATGACTTCCAATTGTTTCCACCGCCTTCTACTACTTTCATCTACTTTTCCCACCCGCTCATTCGAAAAGTTGTCACCTTTGTCATCAAAGTAAGGACGCAAAGGGACTGCGGTTCTTGATTCCTCTGTGTTGTGTGTTAACGGGAACGAAAAAAAGGGGAGGGCGGCCGCCGATGCACCACCGGAGAAATCAGCGCCATAGCCGGAGACTACCGGAAAAAACTTTGTAGGTTAAACCATTTTTCCTATTTCTGATTTTTGCCTTAAGATTGGCTACGCCATCGATTGAATCTTTTCAATTACACAGTATCGACAACTGGAAGACACGTGTAGAAAGCTTGTTCGATTTTCAGATAGATGAAGGTCGATTGCAAAATTGATTTTCTTTTTTCACTTCTGGTTTTAGGTATTACGTTTTTTTGTCCAACACACTTCTACACTTCTGTGAAATTGATTGTCTTTTTTCGTTTCTGGCTATGTATTTTTTTTCGTTGGAGTTCCAGTTTGACGGAATTCATTTTGGTTATGGTCCGATGAAACAACGGAATAGGTACGGGTTACCGATGTTTCCTTTTTGCTTGAGGTGGCGCAGTTCGCATAGACTGCAATAGATGGTATCGGATTTTTCTTGTGCTCAATTGCTTATATCCCTATCTTATTCCATGTTTTCCCAAAATAATTTACGTGTTTCTATACTGACAAAATCTAATGAGATTTTGTTGTCCCGACATTAATCACCTGTCATGTCTCTTTGAAGGACTGAAACCCCAATACTGGCACGGTTGCTTGGTACCACCACCCAACAGCGTTGCATCGGATCAATTATAGCAGGTTATTCAAATACATAACTTTTTTATGTCACATAAATGAACTAACAAAAAATTAAGGTTGTGACTACATTGATGGATAGTAGGTCATTCAATTTCCCGACAGGTGAAGTGAAATTGATGACAGTTTAATAGAATAGGTTTCCAATTACCCATGAAATTTAATTATACCCCATCCAGTTGATATTGAGTTTTGAAATTGAGTTTCACCATGCATCCCAACTGCTTGAACCAGGGTGGCCCTTACTATATTTTTTTGTGCTTACTACAGGTAAAGAAAAAAAAGTTGTTTATGAGGGTATTATGGTCTTTTAAACGTGGGTTCAAACTACTTAAAGATCCAGATAACTCATCACAAACAGTCTATGAATCATGGGTTCTACTTACTACCAATTATCCTAAGGTAAATGTTTCACAATTACTTTCCTGCCCTTTAACTGATTCCAAAATCTTAGTTCTGGGATGGGGATTTGCAAGAATTAGTGGATCAAATGGAGTATTTAAGGGCGTCCAATGCTTAAATTATTGAGATTTTATTGTTTGTGGGGTGTCTGCAACTCCACCTCTTCTTTTAGTACAAGTCAGAGAGATGCATATGATTCTTTAATGTCTTGTGCTGAGGTGATTGTGGATTTTGCAAGGAGACTAAGCTGTTGTTTTCTTGTATCCTTTTGATTTTTTTATTTTATTTAATGTTTTTTTTCTTAACAGTAAATTTATTTTGGGACAAAATACCCCTTCATTTATTATCTTTGTTTCTTGCAAAGGCCAATGAAACAAGAAAGAGAAGTTAGAGGGGTAAAATTAGAGCTAAAAGTGAAGGTTAATTCTGTTGGGTTTAGGGTATGTTGGTCATAAAATAAAAAAAATACCGGAAAAAAGAATTCAAAATATTTCTGAATTCTGTTGCTACTTCAGTTAGGGTATCATTACGTTGCTTTCTTATACAAATGCATATTTATACCTGTATCTCCAAAATTAAGTTCAAAATAAATGACTCTTGTAGACAAATGAAAATCATTCTCTACTTAACACATCACCATCACCATTTTTAAAGTGAAGTCAACGAAATACAAAACAAAAATTTATCAACATTTAGGTAAATCTGATCCAATCTAGCGCCAATGGCGCATGTAATTCCTACTAGTTCTAATTCAAATAAGAAAACGTGAAAAATAAAATATTGGTCCTGATATTATTGAATCCAAAGACCATTTATTTTTTAAAATATTTAATTTTTACTGTTTAGCAATTCATATGTCCACACCTTTAACAATAACTGACCTTTTCAATTTAATTGTTTTAAATGCCCTATTTTAATGTCACAACCATTTTCACATCTCGTGAAATGCCAAAAAAAAAAAAACAAAAAAGAGGTTAGTTTTTACATATCTACGATTTTAGGTCAATCGAAATAATTAAAAGAAAAAACATAAGGCTTGTGAAAACTAATCGTTAGAAACTTGTAAACTAAATACTTACTTCTTCTCCATCTAAGGAAGTTCGGTCTTTGTATATCTTTTCACTACCACCAGACAGTGTAAGGTATGTCAGCTTCACCATTTACTCCCAAATCATGTTTTGCTCCTCAATTGCTTCATAATGTTCTTTTTCTTGGCAGACCTTCAATCAGTGGCAGGTGATGCTCTGAATAGACTTACAATAACCTTCGTCTTCATATGCAGAGTGGATTGAAATCTTACCATTGATACGTTGATTCTTCATTCCTGAACCACTATTGGCACATAAGATAATTCATATCAGAAACCTACAAATCATGTGTAGAAACTTATAAAATTGATTATCTTAAACATTTTATCGAACACATGGCAATTGGCATGCCAAATTGACCTAAAAATAAACCGGGATGAAATTGCAATACCTGTGCAAATAGCTTTCTGATTTCTAGTCTTAAGAGTGGGGGAATCATATTGAAATCATCTGCAAATTAATAACATGCATGACTTAATGGGAGGATTAACCGTTAATACGTTGATTCTTCATTCCCGAACCACTATTGGCACATCAAATAATTGATACCAGAAACCTATAAATCATGTATGGAAACTTATAAAAATGATCACAGAAAGCTCAAAATTGTGTGTTCAGAACTTGGAAACCATATGTACATACCTTCAAAATGAAGGCAAGCAGAAATTTAGCTTCAATCTCTCCCTGTTGTTGTTTTTCCTTGCCATGCAATTGCTTGCCTTCACCGTTCCCTTCCGCACAAATGAATCCCCAAACGTCACTTCTCAACTCCAGAAACAATAGCGTGAGTCTATCGTGGTTGGCAACAATCGTCGATTGATTGGAGGAAGACAAACAACAAAATGGATAGAAGTACATGTAAGGTCCGGTAGCAGCATGCGATAATCTCTGATGGAAGATTGGGGGTTTGTTGATGAATCCTCTTTGGGAAATTGAGGGACGGTGTTGGAAACCTTGAGAGAAAGAGTAATAGTTTGGACGGTTATATTAATTACCTGGAGAAGATGATGATGAATGTGCTCTTTCAAGAAGTTGCATACACATTTAATTAGATCTTTGGAGGAAAACAAAAGCTCCATTGACTCCTCCTGTCAGCCTCAATCTTTCTTCTGTTAAGCAACAAAAAGTCAAAGAACCTCTTAGGTGAGGAACACAACAGAACCTTGAAGAGGCGGTGGAAAAGGTGAAGCCCAAAATGTCCATCAGAAGAAGAATGAAATAAGGACAATGTTAATTGGGATCGGTTCAGAGAGACGGTGATAGGGAAGAATGGTGACATTTCATTGGAAGCCGATGGCGGTGAGCAACATGCGTATAGGTTGGGGAAGCCGTAGATGGCGGAAAATGAATGGAACAGGCAATGTTCCTAACGTCCATGTTAATTAACAGAGCATATTAATTAGAGTCAACGATAATAAGCCATCTATGTTAAATATAGGGGTGTTAACTACTCGCGACAAAAATACGCGATGAAATTAACTAGCATATGTTTGTGTTGATATAAATATATATATATATATATATATATCTATATATATATATATATATATATATATATATATATATATATTAGGCGAATGCCCGCGCGTTGCGCATAAACACCTATATAGTTGAAGTCTTTACAAATATATGTTTTTTTTTAATATAGCAATAAGGTTGTTAAATTTGATATAATAAATCGTATACTAAATTGATATAGTATATTGATTATTTTGAATTTATATGATAATATATACATCTATTATAACTGCATAATCTCAATCGTTTGAATGACTTCTACCCGCGAGTTACAAATGAATAAAATTAAATATAATATATGGTTTAATGTTATTTATAGTTGTTATTGTTAATTAGTTTTTTAAAATTTATTTACTTAATGTTTTAATTTCTATCATTATAATTATTTAAAACTTGAAACATTGTTTTTTGATTTTAAAGGTAACAATATAATCATTCATATGAAGTTATTTTTAACTATTGTTATTCTAAGTTATTTTAAGCAACTTATTTGAAAACTTTTAACGATTATAAAAATATATTTAGGAAATATTTTAGTTAACTTGAGATTACAATTTAGTTTTTACATTTATCACTACAATTTATCATTTTTAATTATTTACAAAATATTCTTTGGTTTTTTAAGTGGAACTGAAATTTATATTTAAGTTGACATTGTAATGTTATATTTAAAATAACAATTTAAGTATTTTGTCCAAACTGTTATTAAGTTGTAGCTTTAAACTTATAATGGTTTACATACAACAACGTATTAAATCTAATAAATTCAGTATAATATGTTAAAAGTTAAAGACATAACTTTATAAGTAGAAGTAATGATATTATTTTAAAATTGAAATTTAGTATATTTATGATTACACTTTAGGTTTGACATTTATTTAACCTTATTAACCAACTTATAATTATTATTAGAAAAACACTATAATTAATCACTTTTAACTATTTACAAAATATTCTTTGGGTTGTTTAAGTTAAACTAAAATTTATATTTAAGTTAACCCTATAATGTTATATTAAAATTAATAATTTATGTATTTTATACAAATTGTTCCAAAATTGTATCTTTAAAATGATAATGGTTTACATCCAACAATATATTAAACCTAATAAATTAAGTATAATATGTTAAAAGTTAAAAACATCACTTAATAAGTAGAAGTAAATATATTATTTTAATAATGAAATTTAGTTTATATATGATTACACTATATGTTTGATATTTATTTAACCTTATTAACCAACTTATAATTATTATTAGAAAGAAATTGAAAAGTCATGGAAGTTTCAAATGAATGTGGTGAAAGGAAAAATGCATGGGAGTTTCAAATGAATGTGGTGAAAGGAAAAATGTTTCCTTTATAATATAGTATGATATGATATATATATATATATATATATATATATATATATATATATATATATATATATGAGTTTCTAATCTTTTTTGTCCATGTGGCGTAGACCACGTACATGTATTAACCCTTGCAAACTGTATATTTTTTAGAAGACTGCAAACCTAAAAAGGTATGTATGTCATCTTCTTGGCACAAATATGAACTAAAAGTCTTCTAACATCTTTATACATATTCTAGCCTAAAAAACATATATATCTTTGTTTTTTTTTTAAAAAAAAAAAATTAAAACTTATATTTATTCCAACTTTATCTATGATAAACAATTTTGAACAAAAAATACAATACTTCAAGAAAAAAAGGGTTCGATGACACAACCATTGCCTTAGCGACAAATTAATAAATAAATATTTAATTACAAAATTAGTCGTAGGAGTTGTGTGTGTGTGTGTATTGTAAAATTAATCGTGCACCCACTCTCTATCTCACGTTAGTCTTCCAATCATGACCTTCAAATCACAATCTCGATTCCTTATTGGAGACTCCTGCTCCTTCTTGACAGACTTAACTTAAGATAAGTTCTTTCCTTTGATTATTGTAACATAACGATGGGTTATGTTCTAATGACCTCTCATTGTATGATGCAACGCTTAGATTCAGGTATTTTAGAGTCAAATTCCATAACGGAATATACCTTCCTTCATGTTCTAACGTGATATAATCACATTCTAGCATGTAGCACATCTAGCTACAAGCTTCTTACCTTAACAACAGTTGCGATACTTCTATTGATCGCTTCGATTATCTTTCACTTCAATCTTCTGACTTAAGTCAGATGCTACATCGATCTTGGTACTTTGAACCACGTAACATATTCATCTTATTCAGACTCGATTTGATATGAACACTAGGGTCGGATTAACAATTATCTTCTTAGTCATTACCGAAACGATGGTAACAACAGACATGAACAAAACGGAATCAATTACTAGCTTCTTGGTAACCTTGTGACTTTCCCTTATCCAAGTGTGAGTCATGTGCTTCCGGTAGTATAGGCCTCTGCTACCTTTCACACCTACTCATACTCGTCCCAAGTATTGTCTCGCAGTTCTCCAAGTTATTATCACAAAAACAATTTTAACACATACAAATGTGTCCAAACAATCATATAATTTTCTCTAGACTCTAATATGACTTCTTCCATGCATATCTTCAATCATCAATTCTGCTTCAACTCGGTTGGTGATGGAAATGTCAGACGATGGGATAACTTGATGGATTATACCAAAAGTCTTTCTTTCTGCTAATCCCGTACTAGACGTATTATTTATTAGACGCATTCTAAAGGCAAGATATCACTCTTACGATATCTTCCGATAGGTACTATTCAGTACCGTAAGCCTTCTCATTTCCTCCATTTACTCAATTCACTACGAGTCTTCACCATGATGTTCTGCACACCAAAGCAGTCGTTTGGTGTATCGAGACGAGTTTAAAGATATAGGAAGGTTTAGACGCGCATTCCTCCTTATTACCTCGAAAAATTATATGTCGGTTCTAATATCGTAATTAAACGTTTAGAAATCTGAACACATAAAATTTCCAGATCCGGTCGGCAACAGACCATAGATCCGATCAAACGATAGCATAAAGCATCACAAATTATTAAGCACATAAAAGCATCTTAGGCATCTTCCCTAATTAAGCTAGTGCTTGTGTCTATTCAGGCATACTTCCTAAAATATATTAGACACACTCCTCACGATCATCGCTTAGCATTCTAAGTTTAAGTCTAGAAATAATTCTTTATTCCTAGTTCGCTTAAACTAATGCTTTGATACCAACTGTGACATCCCCATTTTCACGGCCAGAAAAGACCGATTTGTTTATGCTTTATTTTGAAAATCAGAGTAACCTTTTAAAGAAAGAGTTGCAGAATTTGTTCCCAGTAAAACATGATAAATGCGTTATCAAAGCATTTCCGAAGAAATGTATTTTTATCCATTTTAAAACATTTGAGATGTCATCGTCAATATATAAACATAAGCATAAACAGAATTTACATTCATTTACACTAGTGATCTACATCTCTTTTAAATCCCTCAGTGTAAAGTAGCTTCATATCGACACCTGTGATACAAATAAGCTTGAGTGGGTCAGGTTGGGAAACCTGGTGAGTACATAGGGTTTTCAACCCACAATAATATAATTATTATGTTAAACATCAAACAATTAACCCAATTACCCATCCCCATTATCTTCTTTACTCTTAAGGATCTACCCTAAGATTCAGCTATTCTTCGTTCATTCATTCCTAAGGAGTATCCTAAGGAATCGGCACTAAGTCTGCATAGTCGCCAGGGTTTATCTCGTTTATTGACAGTATCGTTTTCGAGAGTCCACTCGTAATAACTGTCAATGGGTTTTTAGAGTACACCGGGTGAACACATCGTTCACAACACCGACAGGTTGCGAGCCTGCTAGTGTTCCACTAGACTGTCTAGAATAGTCCGTGGTTGTCATCCATACTCTGCTAGATGACGGGGCCATCGCTTGGGTTATCGTTTGGCTCATCGCTTTGGCTCATCGTTTTGGCTCATCGTTTTGGCTCATCGTTTTGGTTCATCGCTTTGGCTCATCGTTTTGGCTCATCGCTTCGCACCATATTTTATCACTCATATATCATCGCTCATCATTCATCTCATCTTTCATCGCTCATCATTTATCTCATCTTTCATCGCTCATCATTTATCTCACCTCTAATCTACCCATGTTTTACCCAACACATTTTGTAGATATAAAATACATATACAGTTTAGATCATTTAAAACATGTATAAAACGTTTCATCCAGCATAGACAGCAAGTATTCAGACAGTATACACACATAGCACGTAATTTATATAAAATACTTCATATCTATGTGTAAGATGAAAGTAACTATGCACTCACTTGTTAAGGTGGTGATTCCAAATTCGGGCAGCACTTCGCTTCTAACGATTCTATTTTCCTTTGACGAAACCTAACATTATTATCGTTAAGTTTTAGTCAAATCTTTATTGCGACTAATTATTAGTCTAGATTCACCATTAAATCAAAGTCTACTTTCATGATCTATCAAGTAAGGAACAACCAGGTAGGATCATATCGGAGGTAGGGTTCGTTTGGTATACGAAATATACTGTTTGGAAATCCCACTTTAAACACCTC